AATAATCATTATATCAGATTTATAAGTTATTGTCCTTTGTCTAATTAAAAAAAATGTGGTTTGAATTCAATATTCAAGTGTATTTGGTCTTTTACGAAGTGGGTAAAAGGTTTTATTTTGTCCACATAAATATGAAACGTGAAATTTGTACCTTATCCCCCATTGAAAAAGTGGAGGATATCCAGGGGTTGTTAAAAAAGTGGAAGATAGAAATTCGTGAAAATATATATTTTGTTATAAAAAGCCTGGTATATTGAAAATAGAATTTAAAAATATTTCAAATTTTATTAATTGCAATAGAATATAATAATGAATAAGTCCTTATTTAGATTAGGCGAGTTTACTTGCGGCAATTTTTATCGTTCTATTTTGAACTTGCTTCATGCGTCTATACAAGGCAATTCGGTAGCAAAAATATATTTTCTGAATTGAATTATTTTTTCTGAAATGACACTACAAACAAAAACACAAAACGAATTGCCAGAAAATTGTCGGAACGAGCAATTTTTTTCCATTTCTATTCCCCTTGCCCCTCTCTCCATCAAACAAAGACTTGCCGCAAGTAAACTCGCCTAATCCAAATTTAGACTAACAGTCGGTAAAATTATGTAGGTACCTCAATTTGTACATCAAATATAACATTATTTCCGAAAATTATAAAAACATAAGTGAAAATCCCAAACATAATTTGTGCTACAATTTTCCCTACCTCTCTCACTCTCTCTGTTATTTTCCCTCGCCCTTTTCCTATCATTATTTATTTCCTATTTTCTCTTCTTTTTATAGTTCCCATAAATCCTATCAAGAAGTTCAAACACGGTCACAAGCCCTTGCATCAAATTGTAACTGGCATGGGTTTTGAAGATCCGCTGTCTGAGTCAGAAATTCGTAGCAATTTTATAGATGTTTGGATTTGGTCTAATCTGAATGGGAAAAAGTAAATTGAAAAAATTTTTAAGTATGATTTAGTTGTTCTTTCTATCTTGGAAAGGGAATTTTCTATGTAGTGTAGGTAAGCTTCTTCCCTACCTCTCACAAGTAGTAGCATTGAAATTTAGTTGTCATATGTAAATATATTTCATTCCGATCTAGTTTTATAAAAAATCTATAGATACAAAATAACTGAAAAAAACACTTGAACATTATTTTTTGTAAATACAATGTCCTTATATACTTGTAAATATTTATTTTTATGTAAATATCTGTATTTTTAAATATACGAAAAAATCCATATACACCATATATCTACTAAAATTCTTTAAAAATCCAAGCCTTGATTGAGTCCCTGAAAATTGCATTGTCTTGATTTCTGAAAAATATTTTTTTAATCCACGGCTTGGCTGTGCCCTGAAGAGTTTTTTTCAAATTCACGCCGTGATTGGATCCTTAAAAATATTCTTTTAAAATCCAAAATATTTTTTTAATTAATGCCCTGCTTGGGCCGTTTACGATATATCAACTCCATTTTTGAGTTCCAGAAAAAATATTCTTTGAAAACCCACGCTGTTTTAGACAAAAAAAAATTTTGAAAATTTACCCTGAAAATATTTTTTAAAATCTACGCCTGGTATGTACCCTGAAAAATATGTTTTTAAAAATCCACGCCTTGTTTGGACGCTTCAAATTGTTTTTTAATATCCACACCTTGATTGGACGCCTTGTATGGGTACCTAAAAATATTTTGTAATAAATCCACGCTTTCTATGGTCACTGAAAATATACTATTTAATGATAATACATAATAGGATCCCTGAAAAATTTTATTTAAAAATCGACGCCTTCTTGAAGTCCCTGAAAAAAATATATATATATTTTTTTAATCCACGTATTTGTTAAATTCTTCAAAATATATTGATAAAAAACACGCCTCTCTTGTTCCCTTAAAAAATGTTTTTTTAATCCACTTCTTGGCCTTGAATTCCGGAAAAAATATTCTTAAAAAAACCACTCCTATCTTGGTTCCTTGAATAATATTCTTTAAAAAGTCCACGTCTTTATTGGACTCTTAAAAGCATTCTGTACTGAACTTATTTTAGAAAATATTTTTTTAAGAATCCCCTCCTTGGTTGGATCCTGAAAAAATATATTTTTACAAATTGATGCCTTAGGTTATACCTGAACAAATATCATTTTACAAATCCACTCCTTGGTTGGTCCTGAAAATATAATTCTTTAGAAAAGAAATCTACGCCTTAGTTGTACCCTAAATAAATATTTGTTAACAAATCTACTACTTTGTTGGACCCAAAAAAAAAAATATTCTTTAAAAATCTGTGGCTTGGTTGAAACCTTAAAAATTCACGCATTTTTCGGATTTGTACGTCATAAATATTCCCGTAAAAATCATCGCCTTATTTGGGTTCCTATAAATATATTCTTACGAATTTACTATGACATGTTTGACACAATTTTTTTTTTAAATTTCTAGGCCTAGTTTAGGTCCCTGGAAAATTATTCTTTAAAAATCCGATCCTTGTTTGGATCCTAATTTTTCTTTTAATCCACGACCGCCCAGTTTATTACCTTGACCGTTTTATAATGTGTAATCCTTCGAAACAGTAAGCTCCGACAATCTGCCTCGACTGAGCTAAAGATGGTCTTAAGCTGACGATCGAGCTGCCAATGACTTTCGCTGATGCGCCCATCGGGCTCAGCGCTAATCTTTGGTCGTCTTCGTTTGGGAATGTTTTGGGTTTGGCTTAGCAAATAAGGTCTTACCTTGCTCCGACTTTCGTCTTCCCTTTGGTAATCTTCACATTTCCTTTCTATTCCACAATCGGCGTATAGGAAACCGAAGGTTGAATTCTCCTGTCTCACTGTCGATATCATACTCTTCACTGCAACATGATGTGGGGAGGTTTTGATTTCTTTTTAATCAGCTAGGATCAGTTTCTAATTTCTAGGTGGTGACTAATGATAACCATATTAGTCACCACCTAGAAGTCTCGACATTGGTAACCGCTGTACGCGAAGTAGGAAATCTTTCGACTAGAAGTTCCCTCAAGAATGTGTTTGGATAGTCTCTATCGTACTTCCTCGTCATCTCGTTTAGGTTCTTGTCGACGTCAACGTAGTCAGTCTTCTTTTTCCAGTTTACATATGTCAACAATATGTCTTCGAGAAAAAATTCAAACTCCATAACCGTGAAGAAAATTCTAGAAATTAGGAATCTCCTGAATCTCACAAATCTATGTGGGAACGGCGCCGTTGACTCCCACAACCAAAAGGGCGGAAACCCAAAGAAGCAGTGGACAAAGAATAATTAGCGGGAAAGGTTTGGTTGGGGCAGTCGATAGAGGAATTTCCAAGGATTTGGAGCTACCACTTGCGACTCCTTTCTCCATAACTGCGATCTGCCTCTGAAGCATCGGCTTGTCAACAGCAGTCGACGAAAATGTGGAGCCATCCGTCCTTTTGCATTCCAAGCCTGTGTAGCAACCCCTTCTACATAGGGGTCCTAGGGTCCTCTATCTGTCATTGGGGTGTCGTCCCATATATCAGCAGAAATGTTACCTGGCTCAGGCGGATATGTCCATTATCCTCTGTCTCGTTAAATTGTCGTAAATGTCGTTAAGTTCAGAGAGCCCGTGTCCTAGTCAGTGGTTGGGAAATTTGCTCCTGAGAAGATCGGAGTTTTCAGAGGACAGTCTCAGTCGAAGAATATCCAACAAAAATTTATAAAAATTATTCTAGGCTCATTCTACTACGATTTACAAAATTTCGTCACAATCGGACAGACCTTGGGTCTATGGTTCACCATATATTTAATTCTGTGCCGATTTCCGTGAAATTTTCCGCGTTATTCTAGAAACAATACGGTACGTTACACAAAATTTCGGATAAATCGAACAACCTTGTCTCTTTGGTGCACAATTTGCATAAAATCGCAACAAAATATATATGGGAGGTATATCTGAATCCGAAGCTATTTCAGTGGAACTTCACACATGTAATCGTAGACTCAATTCAACACGCTATGCTCAATTTCGTGTAAACCGAACAAACATAAGCTCTTCGGTGCACCACTTTCTAAAATCGGGGGGGAAATATATATGGGAGCTATATATAAATCGGCGCCGATTTCAAAAATAATAATATCCGTCATTTTAAACTTAATTCAATATTCTGTGCCAAGTTTCGTATTAATCCGACAAACTTTGGGAGTTTGTTGCACCATTTATATCAAATCGAACGAAAATATATATGGGAGCTATATATAAATCTGAACCCATTTCAGTGAAACTCAACACACATCATTCTAAACTTAATTTAATACGATTTAGAAAATTTCGTCGAAATCGATCAGACGTTGAGAGTTTGGAGAACCATTTACAAAAAATCGGCGGAAAATACATATGGGAGCTATATTTAAATCCGAACCGATTTCAACGAAACATAAACAAATAATTCTAGGCCAAATGTTGTTCGTCATGTGTTTTGTGAATTTAATGTACCTTTAAATGAAATCGGACAGATCGGAAAAAATCTGGTTCAAAAATCGAATATGTATAGTTATTGTCTACATCGTTGTTTATAGTTCACAAACAAATTTAGGGATAAGGTCTCAAGAAGGCTTTATTCTTAACATATACAATTTCTACGAAACTTTTAAATATCTATCGAAACTCCGCCATTCATTCCTACCCACCCTGCTGTCATCCGCCTGCTTTTTTCATTTCATTTAACAAAAATATAAAAACAACCATATTTTGACATGAAAATATTCACTCATAACTCACGGCTGCATAGGCATATATATCCTTGCTTTTAACAAGAAAAAAATTAAACTAATTTCCACATTCTATCATCCACCTCTAACACCCTATATGCACCCTAGTATTTTTTGTGGTTCCTGGAAGCTTTTTGTGTTGTATGTTTTTGTTGTTGTGAGAGTAAATATCTCGAAACTAATTCTCTTTTCCCCCTCCCCATATAGCACCGATGCCTCTGGCATGGCTCAGCTGACCAAAAAAATACCAGACACCATTACCTCATGGGTGGTTACCGGTTTCGCAATGAACGACAAAACCGGTTTTGCCATGACTTCAGATCCCACCAAAATTAAGGTATTCCAACCGTTCTTCTTGAGCACCAACCTCCCGTATTCGGTGAAACGTGGTGAAGTTATCGCCATACCCATTGTCGTATTCAATTATATGGAAAAGTCACTGCAGGCCGAGGTGACCATGGAAAATACCGATCAGGAATATGACTTCACAGAGGCGACAAATGACATCGAAGAATCGGTGCTGGAGGAGAAGCAGAGAACCAAGACGGTTAATGTACCGGCAAATGGAGGTCAAACTGTCTCCTTTATGATTCGTCCCAATAAGGTGGGTGATATCACGTTGAAAATTAAGGCCATTACACCCTTGGCTGGTGATGCCATACATCAGAAATTAAAAGTGGAACCCGAAGGTGTTACGCAATATGAAAATCATGCCATTTTTGTAAATATCGGCAACAAGAAGAAGGAGGATGCGAAGGAAGGCACTGAGGTTGTGAAACACGATTTGAGTGCTGCCATACCAAAGGATGCCGTGTTGGATTCGGAATATTTGGAATTCTCGGCCGTGGGTGATATCCTGGGACCCACAATTAAAAATATCGATAAATTGGTGCGAATGCCCTACGGTTGTGGCGAACAGAATATGGTGAATTTTGTACCGAATATATTGGTCCTTTACTATTTGGATGCAATTAAAAAGGATATGCCATTGATTGAACAGAAAGCGAAAAGTTATATGGAATCGGGATATCAACGGGAGTTGACCTATAAACACAAAAATGGCGCCTACAGTGCTTTTGGTGAGGGTCACAGTGAGCCGAATAGTTGGTTAACCGCCTATGTGGCCAGATCGTTTATCCAAGCTCGGAAATATATTACCATTGATGGAGCTGTGATTGATCAGGCCTTGGATTTCTTGGCCAAGACCCAGGAGGAGGATGGTCATTTTCCACAAAAGGGTAAACTTTTCCATCCCGCCCATCAAAATGATGTTGGTTTCACGGCATTTGTGCTAATGGCCTTCCTGGAGAATGAGGTAAGTCAAAATGGAATCTCTTGTAATCCAGAAAATATGAAAAAATCCTCCCCTCTCCCCTCTTTTGCAGGACTATGCCGCCAAATACAAATCACAAATTCAACAGGGTCTCAAATACCTTGGCGATCACATTGCCACAGAAGATAATATTTATGCCCTCTCCATTGCCGCTGTGGTTCTCAACAAGGTCCGCCACCCTGATGTCCCGAAATTAATGGAAAAACTTGAAAAGGCAGCCACATTTAAAAATTCTCTAAAATGGTGGTCCAATGAAAATAAGGATCACTCCAATGACATCGAAGTTACCGCCTATATTTTACAATCTCTAACGGAAACGGAAGAGGCTGGAAAATTATTACCAATTATCCAATGGTTGGTTGGTCAACGTAACAGTTTGGGTGGTTTCGATTCGACACAGGATACAGTGGTCGGTTTACAGGCCTTGATTAAATTTGCCGAACGTTTTATGGCCGGCGGAGGTGGTGATGGAAAAATGCGAATTGATTTTGAGGCCAAGGATGGGGAGGGAAAGCAGACGACAAAGGATACCATTGAGGTGGATAAGGAGAATGCCCTGCTGTTGCAGACACATGTGGTAAGTTAGAAAAATACCCTGAAAACATATTTTTAAAAGAATTTGCGCCTCTGAAAGACCCCAAGAAAATATTCTTTTAAAAATCCACGCATCTGAAAGACTCAAGAAAATATTCTTTTAAAAATCCACGCATCTGAAAGACCCAAGAAAATATTCTTTTAAAAATCCACGCCTCTGAAAGACCCAAAAAATATTCTTTTAAAAATCCACGCCTTTGAAAGACCCAAAAAATATTCTTTTAAAAATCCACGCCTCTGAAAGACCCCAAAAAATATTCTTTTAAAAATCCACGCATCTGAAAGACCCAAGAAAATATTCTTTTAAAAATCCACGCCTCTGAAAGACCCCAAAAAATATTCTTTAAAAAATCGAGGCCTCTGTAATACCAAAAAAATATTCTTTTAAAACCCCACGCCTCTGAAAGACCCCAAAAAATATTCTTTTAAAAATCCACGCATCTGAAAGACCCAAGAAAATATTCTTTTAAAAATCCACGCCTCTGAAAGACCCCAAAAAATATTCTTTTAAAAATCGAGGCCTCTGTAATACCAAAAAAATATTCTTTTAAAACCCCACGCCTCTGAAAGACCCCAAAAAATATACTTTTAAAACCCCACGCCACTGAACGACCCAAAAAATATTCTTTTAAAACCCCAGGCCACTGAACGACCCCAACAAATATTCTTTTAAAACCCCACGCCACTGAACGACCCCAAAAAATATTCTTTTAAAACCCCACGCCACTGAACGACCCCAAAAAATATTCTTTTAAAACCCCACGCCTCTGAAAGACCCCAAAAAATATTCTTTTAAAACCCCACGCCTCTGAAAGACCCGAAAAATATTCTTTAAAAAATCCACGCCTCTGAAAAACCCCAAAAAATATTCTTTTAAAAATCCACGCCTCTGAATGACCCATAAATATTCTTTTAAAAATTCACGCCTCTGAAAGACCCCAAAAAATATTCTTGTAAAAATTCACGCCTCTGAAAGACCCCAAAAAAATATTCTTTTAAAAATCGACGCCTCTGTAATACCAAAAAAATATTCTTTTAAAAATCCACGCCTCTGAAAGACCCCAAAAATATTCTTTTACAAATCCACGCCTCTGAAAGACCCAACAAAATTTCTTTTAAAATCCACGACTCTGAAAGACCCCAAAAAATATTCTTTTAAAAATTCACGCCTCTGAAAGACCCCAAAAAAATATTCTTTTAAAAATCTACGCTTCTGAAATAACCAAAAAATATTCTTTTAAAAATCCACGCCTCTGAAAGACCCAAAAAATATTATTTTAAAAATCGACGCCTCTGAAATACCCAAAAAATATTTTAAAAATCCACGCCTCTGAAAGACCCAACAAATATTATTTTAAAAATCGACGCCTCTGAAATACCCAAAAAATATTTTAAAAATCCACGCCTCTGAAAGACCCAAAAAATATTCTTTTAAAAATCCACGCCTCTGAAAGACCCAAAAAATATTATTTTAAAAATCGACGCCTCTGAAATACCCAAAAAAATATTTTAAAAATCCAGACCTCTGAAAGACCCCAAAAAAATATTCTTTTAAAAATCCACGCCTTGTAAAGGACCCTTAAAAAAATATTCTTTAAAAAATCCACGCCTTGTAGAGGACCCTTAAAAATATTCTTTAAAAAATCCAGGCCCAGACCCTGAAAAAAGGATTTTTTTAAATCCTTTGATGGACCCTAAAAAACTATTCTTTAAAATCCACGCCTCTGATAGACCATAAAAAATATTCTTCAAAAAATCCAGGCCTCTGATAGACCCTGAAAAATTATTTTTTAAATAATCCATGACAAAATCTGTTGTTAATATTTATCCTTACCTCTTTTCAGCTCCCCAAATCATCCCGTCAGGTCACAATGACCGCAAGCGGTGAAGGTTCCTGCCTGGTACAATTATCCTATCGTTATAACTTGGCCAGCAAAGATGATAAACCCAGTTTCAGCATAAAACACGAATTGAAAGACACCTCCAACACACATCATCTTCAAATGCAAGTCTGCACCGAATATCAACCGACAGCCGATAGCGAACTTCAAGAATCAAATATGGCTGTAATGGAGATCTCCCTGCCATCAGGTTTTACCGCTGATTTAGATAGTTTCGATGAAATACGCGAGGCCAATCAAGTTCAACGTGTTGAAACGAAAAATTCCGATACGGTCATCATTATCTATTTCGATAGTTTGAAGGCTGGCGAACCGGTGTGTTTCAAAGTCATCGCTGAGAAATCTCATGCTGTTGCTAAGCAAAAGCCGGCAGCTATCACGGTCTACGATTACTACAACACCGAACAGCGTGCCACTGTTTATTATGAGGTGAAATCGTCACTGTGCGATATTTGTGAAAAGGATGAATGCGGTCAGGGATGTTCGAAAAAGGAATAGAAATCTAAATTCCCTAAAGAAAATCTATCTCATAAATCTTATATATACAGCTAAGTTTTAAAATAAAATATATATTCCAGAAAAAATATTAAAAAAAAATTAAATAGAGTTTTTATTCGGAAGGTTGGGCAACCGTGTCTTTGAAACAATATTTGAGGCCTTGAAAAAATAATTTAAAAAAAGCCCCACGACTTGGATAGGCTTTGAAAATGAATCTTCAAAAAATCCACGCCTTGGATAGGCCTTGAAAATGAGTCTTCAAAAAATCCACGCCTTGGATAGGCCTTGAAAATTAATATTCAAGAAATCCACGCCTTGAATATGCCTTGAAAAAAAAAATTTTAAAAATCCACACCTTGGATAGGCCTTGAAAAAATATTTTTTTAATTGACTTTAAAGTAACTGTACATGGGTCCATACATAAAAGCTGCATGCGGACACACTGATGCTTCCCAAAAATTTCCGAATCTTATCGTTCAAAGACATGCCATTAATTAAGTTCTGACAGCTTTGCCCATCTCTACGTGATGACCACTGCGATAAGTCCAGCTTGAATGCCTTTTGAAAAGAGCATCAACACAATGGAAACCAGGGAGCGGGAGAACATCTAATTACTGTTATCAGTGTCAGAATTATTTTTTTTTAATATATAAAACCTATTAATATCTCTCGCATAATTGCAACTTGTCTAAGGCGTGGATTTTTTAAAGAATATTTTTTCAAGGACTTGTCTAAGGCGTGGATTTTTTAAAGAATATTTTTTCAAGGACTTGTCTAAGGCGTGGATTTTTTAAAGAATATTTTTTCAAGGACTTGTCTAAGGCGTGGATTTTTTAAAGAATATTTTTTCAAGGACTTGTCTAAGGCGTGGATTTTTTAAAGAATATTTTTTCAAGGACTTGTCTAAGGCGTGGATTTTTTAAAGAATATTTTTTCAAGGACTTGTCTAAGGCGTGGATTTTTTAGGAAGAATATTTTTTCAAGGACTTGTCTAAGGCGTGGATTTTTTAAAGAATATTTTTTCAAGGACTTGTCTAAGGCGTGGATTTTTTAAAGAATATTTTTTCAAGGACTTGTCTAAGGCGTGGATTTTTTAAAGAATATTTTTTCAAGGCCTATCTAAGGCGTGGTTTTTTTAAAGAATATTTTTTCAAGGCCTATCTAAGGCGTGGTTTTTTTAAAGAATATTTTTTCAAGGCCTATCTAAGGCGTGGTTTTTTTAAAGAATATTTTTTCAAGGCCTATCTAATTTAAGGCGTGATTTTTTTAAAGAATATTTTTTCAAATATATTTTGTTAAGGCCGTGGATTTTTTAAATATATTTGTTTTCAAGGCTGTGGATTATTTAAAAATTATTTTTTCAAGGACCTAGTCTAAGGCGTGGATTTTTTAAAGAATATTTTTTCAAGGGCGTTGGATTTTTTTAAAAAATTTTTCAAGGACATACCAAAGGCGTGAATTTTTATAAAAATTTAACAAAATTTTTTCTTCTAGTTCCTACATTGCTGTGGCGCCCAATTCCATTAAACCGAATAGTGAATATACGGTTAGTGTTACTCTATCGGATATTATCGAACCAATTGCTGTCGAAGTTGGTATTTCCGGACCATCATTTAATCGTAGCCAAACAATTGAATTTGAACAACAAAAAACCTCTGTGACCTATTTCAAAATCCCATCTAACCTGGAGAATGGTACATACACCTTAACGATACAAGATGTTAATGGGGTGGAATTTTCGAACTCAGCTGATTTGATTTATGAAGTTGGTGAAAATGTTACCGTTATCGGAAGTGACATTGTGAAATCGGAAACGGAAAAAAATGTGACCGCTAAACGTTTTGGCCCCTTGAATTTGAACTTTAAACGAGAACCGTAAGTTGGATGGCATCATTTTGGATTTTGTTACAATTTCGAACTGTTTTTATTTTTTTTAGGTATCGTGTTGCCAAAGATCAGTTGATAAAAATAAATTCCACCGAATCCATCCAATATGCTGTCTATGATGTATTTGCCAATGGCAAACTTGTCAAACATCAATATTTTGAAATTGGTGGAGAATATACGACGGACTATATAACGATAACACCCACATCCGATATGATGCCCAAGGCCAATATTTTTGTATATTTCATACAAAATGATACTCTCATTTGGCGTGATTTGAAAATGCTCTTTGCCAATAGTTCGGATTGTGAGGTAAGTGGGAGGATCGCCCCCAGGCGTGGATTTTTTAAATAGATGTTTGAGGAATTTTTAAGAACTCAAGGCGTGGATTTTTTTAAATAGATGTTTGAGGAATTTTTAAGAACTCAAGGCGTGGATTTTTTTAAATAGATGTTTGAGGAATTTTTAAGAACTCAAGGCGTGGATTGTTTTAAATATATTTTTTATTTTTTCATTTAGAATAATTCTACCGAATATCAACGCCTCTTGATGGAAAATGCTGATGATGCAACAGAACTTGATGGCATGCGTAAGCCACCTGGTGAAGAATCGGGTTTGATAACTTTAACTGATGCAACATATGATCTAGAGCCAGGTAAGTACTCAGAATCCTAGAAGTTATTAAAAAAAATTCTGCGAAAGCAGAGGCATTTCCTATTGCAATAATTCTACAATTTGCAAGCTTCAGCAATGGCAGAAGCTTGGCAACATAGCGTTAGGGCTTCTTAATACCAAGGTAGAGTATATGTGTACTAAAAGTCCAGTATATGTATACTAAACGCTAATCGACGTAGAGTATGTGTGTCGTGATTGTTTAAAAAACGCGTTAGGGGCAGCTGTCGTTCGGCATTCGGTTACGATTCCCCACGAAAATGCTATAACCGTTTGCATTCCGATTTCGTTTTTATGGGGTAAGGATCGGCATAATGCATATAGCATTTTTGGAGAATTTGTATTAACTTTCGGTGTGGAGATTTCCTGACAATGCCGATTGTCGATTTCATGAGGGAAGGTCTTCATTAATTTAGGATAGGATTTAGGATACTGCCTTTTTGAAATCATTAGTTTCCCGCTATTTATTTGTTAGATGTTCCGAAAATGGACTTTTGGGATATTTTTTACTACCGCGATTTTTTCCGACCTCTTCCGAACTGTATTATATAAAATTTTGGCACAGTTGGATTTAGGAAAAATTGGGTATAAATCAAATCTCAATTGCCATTGAAATTCTGGTAAATAAAATAGCCAAACTATTATCAGATTAGTTGGTATTGTTATGAAAAACTCTCACGAAGTTGATCGTCGCCAATGCCGAAATGGCTGTCCATCCTGCTGTGCATGATTTTCAGAAGAAAATATCAAAAGTTTTGCACATGGATGCTGATGATGGAATTGTGGCGGATTCCGAAACAGCTATTTGGCAGTTTATCTTAATATATAAAAGAGCTTAGTGTTAAGTGAGTGAGTGACTGACAGATCACCGCCCAGACGAAACGGATAAAGATAGAAACTTGTTGTTGGTGTGTAGGTATGAGATAAGGTTGGGTTTTTGGAAATTCGACCTAGAAGGGTACGAAAAGTATAAAATGTACCAAATATGGTACACTATATATTAGGCGAACGGGAAGAATTCTGAAATTTGGAATGTGGTTCATGTTAGAAATATGAACAAAAGGGTTTTTGGAACTTCGACCTATGAGTGTACGAAAAGTACAAAACTGTACTAAATTTAGTACTAGTGGTATATATATTGAACATATAAAGCTAGAATCTTGAAATTTTATATGGAATTCAGATTGGGAAGTGGTGTTGATGTATGGAAATGGTTTAAGAATTTCGCACATATGTTTTTTTGAAAAGTACTAAATGGTACTAAATTTGGTACTATTTGCATTTTAGTTGAGTGTATAGAGATGGAATCTTTAAAAATCTTAATTAGGACTACTGTTGGAGTACAGGATTGAGGAGGCTTTAAAAAGCGTACTTATGTGTACGAAAAGTACTAAATTGTACATAATTTGGTGCAAGTTGGATTTCGGTTCACAGATAGAGCTGGAGTCTTGAAATTTGGAATTAAAACGACTGTTGCAGCGTAGAATTGAATTAGTTTTTGAAATTCGTACTTATTGGTACGAAAAGTACTATATGATACTAAATTTTGTACAATTTGGATTATGCTTGAAGGGATAGAGCTGAAAATCTGAAATTTGGAATTATAATTACAATTGAAGATTGAGCTATAGATACATCTTTGGAAATTCATATTTATGTGTACGTACTATTCGTAAACGGAACTAGATTTGGTACAATTTGGATTTGGGCGAACGGAGAGAGCTGGAAACCTAAAATTTGGAATAATGGTTACTTTTGGAATATAGAATTAAGATATGGAAGCAAAGTACTTATGTGTACTAAATGGTACTATATTTGGTACAACATGATTATGTGCAAACGGATAGAGCTGGACTCCAGAATTTTGGAATTAAAATTACTGTTGGATTGACTTAGTTTAGAAAATTCTTAATTATAAACACAAAAAGTACTAAATGGTACAACTTGTTTTTGTGTGAACGGGTAAGGTTGAGATCCTGAAATTTTGAATTAATATTACAGTTGGAGTGCAGGATTGAGATATGTCGGTAGTTTTGAAAATTCGACATTAAGTGTACCAAATAGTACTAAATTTGGTGCAATTTAGATTTGAGTGAACGGATAGAGATGGAAAACTTAAATTTGGAATGAAAATTACAGAATTAATGTACTATTGGAATTTGGTACTTATGGATACGAGAAGCATTAAATGGTACTAAATATGGTACAATTCGTTTTGTGTGAGCGAGAGTTATACAATTTGGAATTACAATTAAGGATGGAGTGTAGCATGAGACATTGAGGTGGTTTCGAAAATGCGTAATTATGTGTACTAAATTGTACTAAATTTAGTACAATTTAGATTTGAGTGAAAGAATAGGGATGGAAAACTTATATTTGAAAATAAAACTACTGTTAGAGTACAGGATTGAGACAGTGTTGGAAATTCGAACTCATAAGTACGAAAAGTACTAAATACAATTTGGTACAATTTGGATCTATGTGAACGTTTTTAGAAACTCGTACATACATTTACGAAATGTAATAAATGGTACAAAATTTGGTACAATTTAAATGTTGGTGAATGGTAGAGCTGGAATCCTTAAATGAGGACTTAAAGTTATTATTGGAGTGCATGACTGAGGTAGTTTTGGAAATTCGTACTTATTTGATACAATATTAGGTACAATTTGGACTTTGGTGAACGGGTAGAACTCGAATCCTGAAAGTTGCAACTTAGGTTACTGTGGAAGTACAGAAGAACAGAATGGTGCCAAATCTGGTACAATTTGGTGAGCATGCAGAGCTGGATTTCTTAAATTTGGACTTACGATTACTATTTGAAAGCAGGATTGGAATATAAACATAGGTTTGCAATATGGGTACGCAAAGTACAGAATGGTTCTAAATCGGGTATAATTTGGTTTTGAATGAACAGACAGAGCTGTAATTCTTAAATTTGGACTTACGATTACTATTTGAAAGCGGGTTTGAGGTACATGACGAATTTGTACTTATGAGTACGAAAAGTACTAAATTTGGCACAATTTGGACATTGATGGAATTAAGATTACAGTTAGAGTGTAGGATTTATGTAGTTTTAGAAATTCTTACTTATAAGTATGAAAAGTACTAAATGGTACTACATTTGAAACAATTTTGATTCGGTTGAAGTGTAGTATTGAGCTATGGAGACAACTTTGGAAACTCGAAATTATCTGTACGAATAGTAAATAGAATATATAAAATGCACTAAATTGGGATTTGGGTAACGGAGGGAGCTGAAAATCATAATTTAGAATGTGGGTCACTGATGGAGAGTTAGAAAGAAGTACCAAAGGTTTTTTGGTACTAACTGGTACTAAATTTAGTGGTGGTGGTGGTATGGAGGTAATCTTGTACTTATGTGTTCGAAAAGTGCTAAATGGAACTAAATGTGGAACCTTTACGTATTTGCTAAAATATATAATTGGAATTCTGATCTATTTATACCCTTCACCACACTGTGGTACAGGGTACTATGTCTTTGTGCATATGTTTGTAACAGGCAAAATTAAACGAGATAGACACATGGTTCCTTTTGAGAATATGTATAGAATCACTTTCTGAGTCGATTTATGCATGTCCGCCTGTCTGTATGTCTGTCCACGTATTTTTGTGAACAAAGTACAGGTCGCATTTATGATCCGATTTGGATGAAATTTGGCACATGCCACTTATTTGGCCCAAGGACGAACCCTATTGAAATTGGAGAAAATCGGTTCAGATTTAGATGTAGTTCCCATATATAGTTTCGTCCGACTTAACCCTACGGTCAATAACCGGGCACATTTGTACCTTTTTTTGAATAAAAATGCTGTACAATTTTTAATAACGGAGATATTTAGATCAAATTTTGAGGAATCATTCTTGATGTATTTTCACCCATAATTGAAGAAAAAAATTATAAATATTTTCCATATATATAATTTTTACAATTTTTTAATGTTATTACCTACGTAGATCAATAACCGTGGTACATTTGTACCCTGTATACCAAAGGAAAACCAAGGTAGTTTCTGATTTCCACGAGTCGCCCTGATGGCCCCATGTTGTCTAGGGCCACAAAAATTTGCAGAGGAGTTGAGAAACACCTAAATAAGATCCCAATAAAAAAATAACTAAAAAAGCTTAACCCATTCGAAAGCTATAACGAATTTATTATGATTGTTTTAAATAGATTATCATTTAAGCATGGATTTAAATATATATTATTCTAATGTATATATAATTTTGAGTTCCTACATCTACATCAGATCCGTATAGACTAATTTAAAACAAAAAACCTCACGATAGTCCTATTTTTTAATGAGTTACAGAGCTATCTTTGGATGGGTACAAATGTACCACGGTTATTGATCTACGTATACTTTTTTGGTTATTGACCGTAGGGTTAATGTAAATGGTGCACCAAACTCCCAATATTTTGCACAGAGTACTGAATTAGGTCCCAACTGATGTATGCGAAATTTTGTTGGAATCGGTTCAGATTTAGATATAGCTCCCATATATAGTTTCGCCTGATTTTTGGTAAATTCTATGCCACAGTCCCTATATATCTTCTGATTTGCACGAAATTTGGCATAATGTACTGGATTGAGTTTAGAATGATGTGTGTAAAATTTCTTGAAAATCGATTCAGATTTAAATATAGCTCCCATATATAGTTTCGCCCGATTTAATGTAAATGGTGCACCGAAGTCCCTATATATGTTTCGATTTGGACGAAATTTGGCATATCGTACTGAATTAAGTCTAGAATGATGTTTGTTAAGTTTCGTGAAAATCGGTTCATATTTAGATATAGCTCCCATATATATATGTTCGACCGATTTAATGTAAATTGTATTCCAAGGTCCCTATATATCTTTCGATTTGGACGAAATTTGGCATAGCGTACTGAATTAAGTCTAGAATGATGTTTGTTAAGTTTCGTGAAAATCGGTTCATATTTAGATAGAGCTCCCATATATATATGTTCGACCGATTTAATGTAAATTGTATTCCAAGGTCCCTATATATCTTTCGATTTGGACGAAATTTGGCATAGCGTACTGAATTAACTATAGAATGATGATTGTTAAGTTTCGTGAAAATCGGTTCATATTTAGATATAGCTCCCATATATATGTTCGACCGATTTAATGTAAATGGTACACCAAGGTCCCTATATATGTTTCGATTTGCACGAAATTTGACACAGCGTACTGAAATGAGTCTAGAACAAAGAGTGTTAATATTAGTGAAAATCGATTCCGATTTAGATATAGCTCCCAACGACGTAGCCAGAGGGTGACGTTAATGCGTTTTGTTGAAATTGGTGCAATTTTGGTACGCAGACGTCTTTAAACTGTCCGAATGAAATTAAATTTAGCATAGGTTGCAGAAAGACATGAGTATGTTCCTTCGAGGGAACATTGACATGCAATTTTAAGGATACATATGTACAATATACCCAAAGTGGTGAAGGGTATCATATAGTCGGCCCAGTCCGACTTTACTACTTTCTTTACTGATTCTAAAATATTTTTTGGGATACTTAGCAAAGGCGTGGATTTTTTTAAAATATTTTTTAAGATACTTAAATTTTTGGGGTGATTATAAAATGGCCTACATTTTTTAAAAAAAAATTTGGGGGTGATTATTAGATGCCTGGATTTCTGTTTTATTTATTTTTTCGACTGCCACTGTGGGCACTGTGTGTGTATGACATCTGCTTGTATATTTATAAAAAGAGGTCAATTATTATCAAGAAGGTCATCAGAATTAAATTCTAATAAAAAAATCAAAATTGAAATAAATAAATAGACTTTAATTTCAGTTTTGTGTTAAGCGTGGTTTGAATAAGTTACCAATAGCCGGCATAAATCGGAGGAGGATTGAAAAAAAGATTCTGCAAAATGAAACAAATTATTTGTTTCATTTTTCTATTGCTAAATATTTTGGTTGGTGTACGAGCGAATGGGTGAGTTTTGGAATTAGAATACTAACATTTTTTTTAAATATATTTTTAAAAAATCCACCCTTCTGGAGTTTTTTAAAAATATATATTTAAAACAATCTGGATTGTAATTTTTTAATTTGTTTTCTTTTTTCTTTCAGATACTATACCATAGTAGCTCCGGGTACCCTGCAATCCGGTAGCGAATACACTGCAACGGTGTCAATACATGATAGCTATGAGACGGCCAGTATAAAAATTGGCATATCCGGACCATCGTATAATAAAACGAAGACAATTGAAGTACCCGCCTACGGATCACAAATGGTCCGTTTCGATATACCAAATTTAAATGGCGATACTTATGAACTACAAACCGAAGGTTTGAAGGGCTTAATTTTCAAACGCTATGCTAAATTGGTGGTGAAACCCTACTTCACAAATGTTTACATACAAACCGATAAGGCCATGTATAAACCTGGCGATAAGGTCAAATATCGTATTTTAGTTTTGGATGGTGAAGCCAAACCAGTTGCCAGCCAGCACTTGGCTGGACTCACTTTGAACATTTACGATAGTGAAGGTAATCGCATGAGAAGCATGGACAATTTAAATTTCACCAAGGGGCTACATAGGGGAGTGTTTCCTCTAGCGGAGCACACAATACTGGGAAAATGGTCCATAGAAATTTACGATAAATATTCGGAATTCTCTGATAACGAATTTAACATAAGACGTGCGAACGCCAAGGCCAAAAAAATTTTTGAAATTTCCAAATATGTACTGCCGAAATTCAGTGTGACCCTGGAATGTGATAAGAAAGTGGCAATTTTAGATCGTAAATTCGCCGTTACAATACGTTCGAAATATGTTCATGGACGGCCAGTGAATGGTAATGCCACAATTACAGCCTACATTCCCGGTAATCGATTACCCAAAGCTGAAAAAAATCTCCCCCTAATCGATGGCAAAGCTGTGGCGGAATTCTCCTTCAACGAGGACATTATCATGGATCATTTCAAACCCCATCTGCAGCTATTGGCCATTGTTACCGAACATCATACGGGAGAGCAAGAGAATTGCACGACAACAATTTCAATTGAACGATCGCGTTATACCATCGAACTACCAAACATGCAATCAAGCTATGTGCTTAATCAGACCTTTGAGCTTAAACCTATTATTCGAAAGCTCAATGGGGGAGTGCCCACCCACAGCCAATGTACAGCGAAGTTGATATTAAATCAATACAATCAGGGTGGCAATATGGATTATGGTTTAATTTTTGAAACAGATGTTGATCGTAATGGTGTTGCCATATTTAAATTAAATTTTTCCATACCGGCAACCTATAATGATGTGGCCATAATGTATGAAGAGAAAATTCAACATTTTCAAGGTTTTACTATTGTGGCGGATTCAAAGGCATACCAAGATGAAGAAGGTGAGGCCAATGACTCGGGAGAACATTATTATTATACACCACAGCCGAGAACGTATTATCCTCCTTCATTCGGGGGAGTTGGTATTGGACGACCAACAGTAGTCAAAGCCCCAGTGGGACCTCTAAAAATAGCATGTCGGAATAATAAGTGAGTAAAATAAATATTATAAAAAGCAATGCATTTAAAAAAAAAAAAATATTTTTTCAAGGAGTATCAAGGGCGTGGATTTTTTAAAAAATATTTCTTAAGGACTTCTTTCTTTAAGGACTTACCCTAATTATATCTGCCTCTGATAGATCACTAATATGCTCTTTCTCTTACTCTTTCCCCCCTTATTAGCCTCAAATTAGGCGAAGAAATCGTTCTGGACATTGAATCCGATGATCCCATACCATATTTCTTCTATACGATAATGTCGCGTGGTAAAATTGTCGAACATAAATATGTGAAAGTCGATGGCGATGGTAAGAAGTCCTATGAGCTGAAAATTAAACCAACGCATGAAATGTCACCCAAAGCAAAAATATTTGCCTACCTCATTGATGATGGCGATATGAAGTCGGATACAATGACCCTCAACGTTCCGGGGACATTTAAGAATAAGGTAAGGTTTAGGGCAACATTTTACGGGTTCTCATCTCATTTTCATTTACTCTTGTTATCATTGAAGTTATTAATAACAGGACCCCCGGCAGCAAATGCCAGCGATGAGATCACTTTACAAATCCAAACAGATCCCAAGTCATTTGTGGGCCTATTGGCTGTCGATCAAAGTGTTTTGTTAATGAAATCTGGTAATGATTTCAGTGGAAAACAAATTTACAATGATTTGGAGAAAATGCAGTCTGTGGCACCTGATACCAATGGTCGTCATGGGACATATCCTGGTAAAGATTCTGGATTTCTAACAATCACCAATGCCTGTTACCCTCGACAAGGTAAATCCTCAACTAATTTAAAATCTTGGGAATTGTGTCCATCATCAATTTTATTATTACAGTAACTCCTACTGTTGTATATCGTGGCTTTGGCGATGCACCCGGTTCTCATCATGCCGTGGCATATTCTGCTCCTCAATATTCTACCGCTGCAATGAGTAGAGCAAGCAGTGGTGGGGTACAACCAGCGCCTTTGCCAAATCCAGAACCAACGATACGTCACAATTTTGTGGAGACATGGATTTTTGATGACATCGAAAGGTAGGTCCACGGTACTCTTTTGAAATATTTTGAATTTTTTTATAGAATATTCTTTGGAGGTCTAAACAAGGCGTGGATTTATTAAAGAATATTTTTCGGGGTCTTACCAAGGCCTGGATTTTTTACCGAATATTTCTTCAGGGTCTTACCAAGGCCTGGATTTTTTACAGAATATTTCTTCAGAGTCTTACCAAGGCCAGGATTTTTTACAGAATATTTCTTCAGGGTCTTACAAAGGCCTGGATTTTTTACAGAATATTTCTTCAAGGTTTTCCAAGGCCAGGATTTTTTACAGAATATTTCTTCAGGATTTTTTACAGAGTATTTCTTCAGGGTCTTACCAAGGCCTGGATTTTTTACAGAATATTTCTTCAGGGTCTTACCAAGACCTGGATTTTTTACAGAATATTTCTTCAGGGTCTTACCAAGGCCTGGATTTTTTACAGAATATTTCTTCAGGGTCTTACCAAGGCCTGGATTTTTTACAGAATAGCCATTGCAAAAAATATTTTTAAAAAATCCGCGTCTATTTGAGGCCTTAGAAAATATTCTTTAAGGGAAAAAAAATCTTTTTACAAATTCGGAACTATTTGAGGCCTTCAAAAAATTTTTGAAGAATTTTTATTATTTCATTAAAATCCCCTTCTTACGAATTTCCTTTCCTTCCAGTACCGATTCCAATGGCTTTGCAAATATCTCAAAAATAATTCCCGACACAATGACCTCATGGATTATCAGCGGATTTTCTCTGAATGAAAAGACTGGCTTTGGCATAACGGAGACGGCCACCAATATTAGTGTATCCCAACCGTTCTTTGTATCGACAAGCCTTCCCTACTCAGTTAAGCGTGGTGAAATTCTCAACGTACCCGTTATTGTATTCAACTCAATAGCAATCGATATCAAGGCCGATGTTAGTCTGCAGGTTGAAAATAACGAATTTAGCTTCGCCGATGCTGAGGGCAATATTCTGACGGATCAAAAAATAAACCATGAAATTGAAGTGAAATCGAATTCAGATGCTTCGACTTCATTTAAAATTTATCCACGAATTTTGGGTGAACTGACCTTGACAGTTAAGGCCATTTCACCATGGGCTGGAGATTCAATACAACATAAACTCAGGGTTGAACCGGAAGGTGTAACACAATACAAAAATCAGGCGTTATTTTTGAATTTGCCATCATCGAAACAGCAAAGTCACACCTTTGAAGTGGAAATACCCCAAGAAGTGGTAAAGGATTCGGAATATTTGCAACTAATTGCTGGTGGAGATTTATTTTCGTATTGGGAAAATCTGGAAAATATGATCGGAATGCCTGGACGAGTTATTGGTGGAGCTGAGGAGAATATTTTGAACTTCAACATGCACCTTTTAATTCTACAATATTTGGATGTGATGCATGTGGAAAAACCCGATCTTAAGGAGAGGGTCATACGTTCTATGGAAACGGCTTATCAACGTCAGCTGAGCTATAGACATCCAACAGGTAGCTTTTGTCGATTCAGTTGGAATTGCATTTACAGCCAACCGGACGTACAAGTTACAGCCCGGGTTGCCAGAACATTTATACAGGCCCAAAAATACCTCACCATCGATCAACAAATCATTGACAAGGCTTTGGATTATTTGTCCAAGATACAAAGTCGTAAAGGACAATATTCCCCCGACAAACCCAATGAAGTGGCAACTACGGCATTTGTTTTGCTGAGCTTTTTAGAAGACAAGGTAAGTGGTATCCCTATCGCTCTAAAGTCATACTCCTTCCATTATTTTCGTTTTCTTCTTTCAGCACTATGCCAAGAAATATCGAGCCCAAATCCGCAATGCTGTTCATTATATATCTCTCGATACGAATAGAATTCCGAACACCTATAACCTGGCCCTGGCAACTTTAGCTTTGCGTAAAGTTAATTCACCGTTATATCCCGAGCTATTTGAACGTCTGCAACAGCTATGGAAATTATTGCCTAACTCCAAAAATGATGTGGAAACTATGGCCTATTTCTTGCAAATATTATTGGAGGAAACAACGCCTCAAGGACCTCAGGATGAAACTCAGCTATTATCTATTGTCAAAAAGTTGATAAATGGTCTTAATAGTGTTGGCGGATTTACTCCGACACGTGGAACGATTGCTAGTTTAGAGGCTTTGATAAAATTTTCTGAGAAATATAACATGGGAGCCAAGGGTAAAATTGACATAACATATGAGGCCCTAAATTCCGCAGAAGAGCTGCTCACCAATAACTCCTTTGGTATTGATAACACAGAAGCTCTCACTTTGAAAGCATTTGAGGTGAGTTGGAAAAAATATTCTTTATAAAAATTTACGCCTCAGATAGGCCCTGAAGGAAGCCACACCTTAAAAATATTTTTTGTAAAAATCGACGCTTCAGATAGGCCCTGAAAAAAGACATACCTAAAAAATATTCTTTATAAAAATCGACGCCTCAGATAGGGCCTGAAAAAGCATCACCGAAAAACTATTCTTTAAAAAATCCACGCCTTGGTAAGACCCCGAAAAACTATTCTTTGTAAAAATCGACGCCTCAGATAGGCCCTGAAAAAGCCACACCGAAAAACTATTAATTAAAAAATCCACGCCTGGGTAAGACCCCGAAAATTTTTTGTTGTAAAAATCGACGCCTCATATAGGCCCTGAAAAAGCCACACGGAAAAACTATTCTTTAAAAAATCCACGCCTGGGTAAGACCCCGAAAATTTTTTGTTGTAAAAATCGACGCCTCATATAGGCCCTGAAAAAGCCACACGGAAAAACTATTCTTTAAAAAATCCACGCCTGGGTAAGACCCCGAAAAATTTTTTTTGTAAAAATCGACGCCTTAGATAGGCCCTGATAAGACCCTGAAAAAATATTCTTTAAAAAATCCACGCCTTGGTAAGATCCCGAAAAAATATTTTTAGTAAAAAATCCACGCCTTGGTAAGATCCCGAAAAAATATTTTTAGTAAAAAATCCACGCCTTGGTAAGATCCCGAAAAAATATTTTTAGTAAAAATCCACGCCTCAGATAGGCCCTGATAAGACCCTGAAAAAATATTCTTTAAAAAATCCACGCCTTGGTAAGATCCCGAAAAAATATTTTTAGTAAAAATCCACGCCTCAGATAGGCCCTGATAAGACCCTGAAAAAATATTCTTTAAAAAATCCACGCCTCAGATAGGTCCTGAAAAAATATTCTTTAAAAAATCCACGCCTCAGACAGGCCCTGATAAGACCCTGAAAAAATATTCTTTAAAAAATCCACGCCTTGGTAAGATCCCGAAAAAATATTTTTTAAAAAATCCACGCCTCAGATAGGTCCTGAAAAAATATTCTTTAAAAAATCCACGCCTCAGATAGGTCCTGAAAAAATATTCTTTAAAAAATCCACGCCTCAGATAGGTCCTGAAAAAATATTCTTTAAAAAATCCACGCCTCAGATAGGTCCTGAAAAAATATTCTTTTAAAAATCCACGCCTCAGATAGGCCCTGATAAGACCCTGAAAAAATATTCTTTAAAAAATCCACGCCTCAGATAGGTCCTGAAAAAATATTCTTTTAAAAATCCACGCCTCAGATAGGCCCTGATAAGACCCTGAAAAAATATTCTTTAAAAAATCCACGCCTCAGATAGGTCCTGAAAAAATATTCTTTTAAAAATCCACGCCTCAGATAGGCCCTGATAAGACCCTGAAAAAATATTCTTTAAAAAATCCACGCCTCAGATAGGCCCTGATAAGACCCTGAAAAAATATTCATTAAAATATCCACGCCTCAGATAGGTCCTGAAAAAATATTCTTTTAAAAATCCACGCCTCAGATAGGCCCTGATAAGACCCTGAAAAAATATTCTTTAAAAAATCCACGCCTCAGATAGGTCCTGAAAAAATATTCTTTTAAAAATCCACGCCTCAGATAGGCCCTGATAAGACCCTGAAAAAATATTCTTTAAAAAGTCCACGCCTCAGATAGGCCCTGATAAGACCCTGAAAAAATATTCTTTAAAAAATTCACGCCTTGGTAAAATCCCGAAAAAATATTTTTTGTAAAAATCCACGCCTCAGATAGATAAGACCCTGAAAAAATATTCTTTAAAAAATCCACGCCTTGGTAAGATCCCGAAAAAATATTTTTTGTAAAAATCCACGCCTCAGATAGGCCCTGATAAGACCCTGAAAAAATATTCTTTAAAAAATCCACGCCTCAGATAGGTCCTGAAAAAATATTCTTTAAAAAATCCACGCCTCAGATAGGCCCTGAAAAAATATTCTTTAAAAAATCCACGCCTCAGATAGGACCGGATAAGACCCTGAAAAAATATTCTTTAAAAAATCCACGCCTCAGATAGGCCCTGATAAGACCCTGAAAAAATATTCTTTAAAAAATCCACGCCTCAGATAGGCCCTGATAAGACCCTGAAAAAATATTCTTTAAAAAATCCACGCCTTGGCAAGACCCCGAAGAAATATTCTTTAAAAAATCCACCCCTTTGCAAGACCCCGAAGAAATATTCTTTAAAATATCTACGCCTTTGCAAGACCCCGAAAAAATATTCTTTAAAAAATCCACGCCTTGGCAAGACCCCGAAGAAATATTCATTAAAAAATCCACGCCTTAACAAAACCCTGAAGAAATATTCTTTAAAAAAGACTCCAAAAAATATTCTTTGAAGAATCCACGTCTTGGTAAGACCCTGAAAAAAACTCGTCAAAAAATCCACGCATTGGTAAAACCCTGAAAAAATATTCTTTTAAAAATCCACGACTCTGCTAGACCCCGGAAAAATTATCCTTAAAAATGGGTCTTTACCAATGATTTGTTTTGTTCTTTATTTTCAGTTACCAAAATCGACCCGAAAATTAATCGTGTCCGCTGTGGGTAAAGGTAGCGGTCTCTTGCAATTGTCATATCACTATAATGTTCTTAAGCAGGAGGAAACCAGCGATTTTAATGTGACCTATAAAGTCAAGATGACTGATGACTCATCGGATTATATCTCACTCAACATTTGTGCACAAAATAATCTCGAATTTGATATTGAAAATAGTCCAGATTCAAATATGATGGTTATGGACGTTTATTTGCCATCCGGTTTTATAACTTACCCAAATGCATTGGATAAAATTCTGGAAGCGGGGAAAGTACAACATGTTGATAGCCGCAACGATAATACTCTGATTACCATCTATATTGACGAACTGCCGGTGTGTTTGAAAGTATTTGCAGAAAAATATCATCATGTTGAGAATTTACAACCAGGTGTCATAACCCTGTACGATTATTATGATCCGAAGAAACGATCAACAGTTTTTTACGATATTGAGAAATAAAATTGAAATAAAAAACAAAAAAATTTTTTGACATGACTCCGAAAAAATAATATTTAAAAAATCCTTTTAAAAAATTGGGTTTCTGAAAAAATCCACCTCTTTGGTATACTTGTCAGCATTGTTTATTTATTAAATATATTTCCAACAAAAATTATTTTCTAACAATTTATATGCCATATAACACCGTGGCCCTTTGTTCGGTATTATAGTAATCATAGATTGTTATGGGCGCAGGTTTCAAATCATCCACGGCATGCAACTTATTGGCGAAAATATCAAAGGAGCTAAGCTCTCCGTCCATCAGACGCTCAAAATAGACCACAATAATGGTATCATCATTTTTCGTATCTACTCTTTGAACGCGTAGAGCATTTCGAATTCCATCCAAATTATCCATATGTGTTACGAATCCCGATGGTAGGCTGATTTCCATTACAACCATATTTGATTCCTTCCTTCCATCGTTCGATTGAGGTTTATACGCAGCACTAACATTCATTGAGAACTGACCAGATAGAGGTGTTGCCTTGGGCGTATACTCGATATGGAAATTTGGTTCAATTTCAGGAACATTGATATTATAATGATAGGATAATTGTATTAAGGCGGATGACCCCTCGGCTCCGTTAGCTGTGAAGCTAACGCGGCGTGTTGATTTGGGTAACTGAAAGAATAAAGGAAAATAGTGAAATTCGATTTCGAATTTAATTATTTTTAAATATTGCAGAACCCACCACATGACTTTGTAAAATGAAAGAGTTATCCTGATCCACATCAAACTGACCCGTGGTTGTTTCAACGCCATTCTCATCCAATGCCTTAAATTGAATTTGAAGTTTTCCAGCATCCACATCACCATCAGCCGATTTTGGTGAAAAAATTTCGGCAAATGCCACCAAGGCCTTGAGACCCACCACGGTGTCCTGTGTCGAATCGAAGCCACCCAAATTATTACGCTGACCAATTACCCATTTTAGAATTGGTAGAATATTTCCCAAATCCTGCTCCGTCTCCAACAGGGCTTGTAAAATATAGGCGGTAACTTCAATATCATTGTTTGTGTCCTTCGTCTCCGTCGTAGCATTGGACCACCATTTTAAATTGTTTTCAAATTTCGATTTCAATTGAAGCTTCTGGCGAACACCACCCGCCAAAGGATGATTGGTTTTTTGGAATACCAGCAAAATGAGGGCCAGGGAATATAAATTCTCTTCATTGTCAACATGAGCAGCAAGATATTGCAAGGACTTGTCGACTTGCTCGCTGTACTTCGTGGCATACATCTGAAAGTAGGGATAGAGAGATTTAAAAGAAAAAAAAATTTTTGGGGGATTAGAAATTTTGTTAAAAGAAGAATTATCAGCAAAGTTTTTTAAAGAATTTTTATTCGGACATCATTCGAAGGCGTAGATTTTTAATGAATATTTTTTTCAGGGACCACTACAAGGGAAGGTAAAACAAAATATTGGGGACCATTCCCACCTGTGGACTTTTTAAAGACAATTTATTGGGCACAATTCAAACCAGTAAGAAAAGTAGTAAAGCCGGACTGGGCCGACTACATGACACCCTTCACCACTTTGCGTATATTCTACATAGTCTCCTAACAGACGTCGCCTGTTCTAAAGAACATTGACATGAAATGAAAGAAAGATATTTAGGGACTTTGGTGCACCATTTACCTTAAATCGGACGAAATTATATATGGGAGCTATATCTATATCTAAACCGACATTCACGAAACTTAGCACACATCACTCTAAACTTAATTCAGTACGATATGCCAAATTTCGTGCATATCGAAAGATATTTAGGGACTTTGGCGCACCATTTACCTTAAATCGGACATAAATATATATGGGAGCTTTATATAAATCTGAACCGATTTTCATGAAACTTCACGTACGTCATTCTAGGCCTAATTCAGTACGCTATGCCAAATATCGTCCAAATCGAAGGATATAATGGGGCTTTGGTTCATCATTTGCATTAAATCGGACGAAATTATATATGGGAGCTATATCTAAATCTGAACCGATTTGCACGAAACTTAGCACACATATTTCTAGACTTAATTCAATACGCTGTGCCAAATTTCGTGAAAATCGAAATATATATAGGGACTTTTGTGCACCATTTACCTTAAATCGGACGAAATTATATATGGGAGCTATATCTAAATCTGAACCGATTTTTCCCAATTTCAATAGGGCCAAATAAATCGACTCAGAAAGTGATTATATGCATATTCTGAAAAGGAACCATCGGTCTATCTCGTTTCCTTTTGCCTGTTACAAACATAAGCACAAATACATAATACCCTGTACCACAGTGTACTTGGCAGCCATTGCAAGACTTGGTCTTTCTTCGGGGACCTGTAGTGTAGTGTAGATTTTTCAAAGTTATATATTTCAGAGAGCCTAAACAGGCGTGCAATTTTTCAAATAAAGGTTGATAGAGATTATTCAAAGGTGTTGTTATCTTAAAGAATATTTTTGGGGACCATTTACTATGGAATCGAATTTTCTAATACAATTTTTTTCAAAAACCCTTATTAGTCTGAATTTTTTTCAAAAGAATGTAAATATGGATTTTTCAAAAAATATTATTTAGAGACCACCTTAAAGCTTGAAAAAAGACTAGCGCGGGTGTAGATTTTTTAAAGATAATTTAAATAATTTCAGGGACCATTCAAGGTTGTAAATAGCGGAGTGGAATTTTGAAAGGCTGGATTTTTTAAGAATAGTTTTTTCAGCCCCAGATATGGGTATTTTGTATTTTCTTGGTCATCGATTTCATAGAAAAGGGATTTCATAAGGCTTGACGATTTTAAATAATTTCTTCGAAGTAGTTCCGGAATGGAGTTCTTATAAAATTTAATTTTCAAAGCCCTTTTTAGACCTTAATTTTTTAAAGAATATTTTTTCAGGGGCCATTCAAAGTTGTGAATGGCGGTGTGGGATTTCTTAATGGTGGAGTTTTAAAGAATATTTTTGTTTTCTGAATCCGCACCAAAGTGGATGTTGTTAATTAAATGTTTTTCATTGTGTTTTCCTAGTCGTGGACTTGATAAGAGTTTCCTTTTAATGACAGCCATAAGGCTTGAAGTTTTAAAAAATTGCTTAGAGATACTTCTCAGGCCTGGTGTTTTAAAAAATATTATTTCTTCAAGGTTCTTCTCTGGGAGTAGAGTTTACTCGTATATATTTTTTTAAAGTTGCTTATAGGCCGGAATTTTTGAAAACAAATATTTTAGGGGCAATTAGAAGTTGTGAATGGCGCTATGGAATTTCTAAAGGTTGCAGTTTGGAATAATGATTTTTCAAGACTAGAGTTGTTAATTGTTAATGAATTTTTTGAATGCATTTAAAAAAATGTTATAGGAACCATTTAAGGGAACCCCCCCCCCATTCTCGATTTTAATTTTTCAAGATTTTCAATGGGCTGCTAAATGAATACAAATGCTTGTTAAGTTTTGTAACTTTGCACATATATAATTGAAGATTGAAAAGAGAAGAAAAACAATTTACAAAAAAATTTTGATATTGTTTTGTTGTTGTTTTTTGTAATTAAAGAAAATCCTTATTTTTTATGGCGGGCATGATAACTCCTCACTGGAACATCGGAATCCGAAAATTCCAACGGTGTTAGAAAGAGTACATGTCTCTCGTATGAACTAGGATTATTGACTTCGCTCTAAAATGAACAAAATGGTGGACCTTTGAAAAAATATTTTTGGAAAATCGCCGATTTTTTACCAAAAACCAAGTTAAAAAATAAGGAAGATCGTCACCGATTGGCCTTATCCTAGTTCATACGAAAGCTATACACTCCCAGAGAAACGTTGCAAAATTTGGAACCGATTGGATTATTAGTTTTTGAGTTATCGTGCCCGCCATTCACAAAAAAATGTTTAGAGAAAAACGCGTTTAAAGTTTGAGAAGCCCTTCAGCCGTCACCTGATGCTGAAACAATAAATCGGCTATATCTTCAAGAGTTCTTGAGATTTTCACTTGAAATTTTGTAGAGACATTCTTTAATCAGTGTAGATTCGAATTATATCAACAAAAATTTTGACCCCGAGAATGGGGGGTCCCCTTAAGGTTGTGAATGGCGGCGTGGTATTTCTAAAGGGTGAATTATTAAGAATAAATTTTTCAGGACCCACATTAGAGTGGCTAATTATACCCTTCACCACACTGTGGTACAGGGTATTATTTCTTTGTGCATATGTTTGTAACAGGCAAAAGGAAACGAGATAGACACATGGTTCCTTTTGAGAATATGCATAGAATCACTTTCTAAGTCGATTTATGCATGTCCGTCCGTCCGTCTGTCTGTGCATGTTAAATTGTAAACAAAGTACAGATCGCATTTATGATCCGAATTGGATGAAATTTGGCATAGGTCACTTATTCGGCCCAAGGACGAACCCTATTGAAATTGGGAAAAATCGGTTCAGATTTAGATATAGCTCCCATATATATATTTTACCGATTTAATGTAAACGGTCCCTATATATCTTTCGATTTGCACGAAATTTGGTACAGCCTAATCATTTAGGTCTATAATGATGTATGCCAAGTTTCGAGAAAATCGGTCCAGATTTAGATATAGCTCCCATATATAGTTTCGTCCGATTTCATGTAAATGATGCACCAAAGTCCCTATATATCTTTCGATTTGCACGAAGTTTGGCATAACGTACTGAATTGAGCCTAGAGTGATGTCTGCCAAGTTTCGAGAAAATCGGTCCAGATTTAGATATAGCTCCCATATATAGTTTCGTCCGATTTCATGTAAATGGTGCCCCAAAGTCCCTATATATCTTTCGATTTGCACGAAATTTGGCATAACGTACTGTATTGAGCCTAGAATGATGTCTGCCAAGTTTCGTGAAAATCGGTCCTGATTTAGATATAGTTCCCATATATAGTTTCGCCCGATTTCATATAAATGGTGCACCAAAGTCCCTATATATCCTTCGATTTGGACGAAATTTGGCATAACGTACTGAATTAAGCCTAGAGTGATGTCTGCCAAGTTTCGTGAAAATCGGTCCAGATTTAGATATAGCTCCTATATATAGTTTCGTCCGATTTCATGTAAACGGTGCCCCAAAGTCCCTATATATCTTTCGATTTGCACGAAATTTGGCGTAACGTACTGAATTAAGCCTAGAATGATTTCTGCCAAGTTTCGTGAAAATCGGTTCTGATTTAGATATAGCTCCCATATATAGTTTCGTCCGATTTCATATAATTGGTGCACTAAAGTCCCTATATATCCTTCGATTTGCACGATATTTGGCATAACGTACTGAATTGAGCCTAGAGTGATGTCTGCCAAGTTTCGAGAAAATCGGTCCAGATTTCTATATAGCTCCCATATATAGTTTCGTCCGATTTCATGTAAATGGTACACCAAAGTCGCTATATATCTTTCGATTTGCACGAAATTTGGCATAACGTACTGAATTGAGCCTAGAGTTATGTCTGCCTTGTTTCGTGAAAATCGGTCCAGATTTAGATATAGCTCCCTTGTAATATAGATTTACTTTATGTAATTGACGCACGAAGGAACCAATAGGCTGATAGGAACAAAACGTTCTGAAATTAGTATAACCTAACCTGTGACAAGTTTTTTTTGAAATCGCTTAATATTTGGATAGAGCTTCCATATATATTTTCGCCCGATTTCAAGTAAATTGTTAGTCAGTTTGACATCAATTTTTGCACAACTTACAAAATTGAGCATAGAATTACGCAGTTGCGTTTTCTAGAATTACAGACATAGCCCAACGGATGAACTATTTATATTTGTTTGAACTCGATTTACATACTTTATGGATAGATCTAGGTAGATGCACATTTACATAAATATCACATATTTTATTTCATTCAATTTCATGTTAATAATCCTGTTTAATATACCCATAGTGGTGAAGGGTATCATATAGTCGGCACCGTCCGACTTTACTACTTTCCTTACTGGTTTTTAATTAACAATTGTTCATGATTTTTTCCAAGTCGCTGCGATTTTTTAAGATTTTTTAATGGACCTGAAGTTTTCAATAAATGATTCAAGGTACCTCTTAGGTCTGGATTTTTTCAAGGCGCTTCTAGGAGCGTAGAGTTCCTTCTTATGCCTGAATTTTTTTAAAGAACATTATTAGGGACCAGGATCCACAACAGAAAAAATATTTTCAAATTCTATATAAGGCGTAGATTTTTTAAAGAATGTTTTTTCCAAGGCATTTAAAGGGCGTGGATTTTTTAAAAAATATTTTTTCCAAGGTGTTTCTAGGGGAGTAGAATTTACTCTTTTATATTTTAAGGTACTTCGAAGGCATGGAGGTTTTATAGAATTTATTTTTTGAATACCCTTCATAGGCCTGAATATTTTTAGGGACCATTAAAGTTTGTGAATGGTGTCGTGAGATTTCTAAAGGGTGGAGGTTTTATGAATACTTTTTCAGGATCCCCACCAGAGTGGTTAATATTTATTGAATATTTGTTTATAAATGAATATTAATGTCTTTATAAGGCTCAACGATTATAATGATTTTTTTCAAGGTACGTAGGGAGAGTTTACTCTTATATTTTTTCAAAGGCGTGTAGTATTAATAGATTTTTGAAAAGCCCTTCTAGGAATGCATTTGTCAAAGAACATTTTTTGGGGACCATATAAGGTTGTGAATAGCGGCGTAGGATTTCTAAGGAGTGCCGTTTTAAAGAATAAGTATATATTACCATTTCTAATGAAAATTTGTTCATGATGTATTCCTAGTCGTGGAGTTATTAAAAATTGTTTTGTAATGATCTTCATAAGGCTTGGCGATGTAAATAATTTCTTCGAGGTACGTTTTAGGCTTGGAGTTTTAAAGAATAAGTTTTAAAGTTTCTTGTAGGGGAGTAGACTTTACTGTAATATATTTTTAAAGTACTTCAAAGGCGTGCAAATTTTATATAAGTTTTTTCCAAAGCCTTTCTTAGGCGTAACTTGTTAAAGAATATTTTCTCAATGAACAACAGTGGCTTAAATTTTTTATAAAAGGCCTTAAATTTTTTATAAAAGAATTTTCCAATATGACTTATGGACAATTGAAATTTCCTGCCAATATACTACGCTTCAAGTGGTCTATCGGCTTTCTGTTCTTAACTCAGCTTGGGGTCATGTAAGTGTGTGTAAACCAAGAACCATACACAAAATTCGCCATAAAGTGGTCTGGGTGGGTGGCTCAATTCTTGAGAATGCCAATGAATTGCGGATTTGAATCCTTTGCTATGGACCCCTAAACTGCCATGATATTCTCGACACTTCGACCAGCCACCATTGTCTGTTAGCGTATCTGTAGACTCAAATCGATTATTGTCGGTTAGCTGGGGGAGGCGAGAATTACAATCAACAATTGGAGGTAAGGCTCTTCGATTGACGTGTTCTACATTCGTTAGGGAATTTTTATAATTTGCAGATGGGGTTACTTCGTGTACTTTACCATAATGGAAATCTTGAGTTGAGTTTACTCAACAAAATCGATGGAAACCGTTCAAGGTCTGCCCAAAGTTAAATTCAAATTTGGAACACCCTCCGAATAATTATCAAGGTGTATTGTAAGCGAGTTATTTCTTTTATACAAAAAATATTTTTTTTCCCTTCCTACCTTATCCTCCAGGAAAGCCAACAATACAAATGCCGAGACACCCAATTCATTTTGATTGGATGGATGAAACAGCTCTCCGGTTTGGGGAAATTGTCCATTCTCCTTTTGTGTGTCCGCTAAATATTCCAAGGCTTCCTCAATGATGTCCTCACCAATGGTGATGTATTTCCGGGCCTGTATAAAAGACCTCACCACATATGCCGTTAACCAGCTATTCGCTTCACTGCTACCCTCACCAAATGTACTGAAGGCACCATTCTGATGTTTATAAGTCAATTCTCGTTGATATCCCGATTCCATAAAATTTTTAGCTTTCTCCATCAGCGATGTCATATCCCCTCGTCCAATGGCATTCAAATATTGTAGTACCAAAATATTCGGTACAAAATTGATCATGTTCTGTTCACCACAGCCATATGGCATGCGTACCAATTTATCGATATTTTTAATTGTCGGACCGAGAATATCACCCACTACAGTGAATTCGAAATATTCGGAATCTTCAACCACATCTTTGGGTATGTGGATCTCTATGTTATTTTCCAGTAGTTGGCTGTTGGCATCGATACTTATAAAATGGGCTTGATTTTGATACTGGGTTACACCCTCCGGTTCGACTTTTAATTTTTGATGGATGGCATCGCCAGCCATGGGTGTTAAGGCTTTGATTTTTAACATGACATCGCCAACAATTTTGGGTTTAATTTTAAAGGTTGTCGTGCCGCCACTATTTGGTGGAATAATCAGCTTTTTTGTAAGCCTTTGCTGGCCATCGTCGGACTCTTCCATAAATTCATATTCATTGGCATCATTTTCCAGGGTAACGACGGCTGACAATTCCTCATCTGTCAAATAATTGAATACCACAATGGGCAGGGTAATGGTCTCACCCCGCTTAATCGAATATGGCAGATTCATGGTCACAAAGAATGGCTGAAATACCCGAATTTTTGTTGCCTCTTCGGTCATACAAAAACCGGTTTTCGGATTCAATGAAAATCCACTAATCACCCAGGAGGTTATGGTGTCCGGGATCTGTTTTGTGAATGTTGTCAAGCCATT